GAAGCCACATCTGTATCTCAAGGGAGATACCATGAACTTTCTCTTCTTCTCCCTTGGTGAAAGCCTCGAGTAAGGGAACCATGGAGTCGTTAAGCTCGGGTCGTTGATGACTTCTTGAAGTTCAATCATCCCCAGATGGCTGTTGTCCTTGTGACAATACGTTCCATTCTCCAGTTCACTCAAACAGTCATCATCATCATCAGCAGCAGTAAGCTCTATTTCTGCAGCAGCAGCAGCAGCAGCTCTTCTTGGTGCTGTTATCGAACTAAAGATCACCCGTCACCGGGGTGAAAACATCAATTAGCCTAATACATTACCAAAAGTTCTAAACTGTTGAATTCCACTATCACAACCTGATGACCTAATTACATGACTATTCTCAGAATGCCGCTCAGATTCTAACTCGTTCGAGTCTCCTTATTTATGCAGCTTGCTCAGGCATGAACCGGAACAGTTTTTTTTTTTTTTTGTACAGAATCACAAGTACCAGCATTATCAAACGACAACGGAAGTTCATAAAGGAGGATAAAGAGCATACATTTTGTTTCTTTCTGAACTTAATATCCCTCTAAAGGAGCCTTTCTTTGTGAAGATGCAGCTGGTTGAGAGATGCCGGATGAATTGGAGCTGCAGATACAGAAGAAGTGTTACCACAAGAAGTTGGAAGTATATGCATGCACGACAAGCAATCATACCCAGGGGAACCATACAAAAGATGCATTCTCCAAACATCTAATCAACATAACGAATCGTCATGTATCTGATTTGGGCATCCAGCCTTCACACCATTTCTTGAGAACTAGCAGATAACAACAGATGGAAGCATTCTGGTGCAAATTACTGATAACCCAGAACTCAAGAAAATGCACCATTGCACCTTATTGAGATCAAAACAATCACCTTTTTTCCATACCAAACAAACTGCATTGAAGAACCAGAAGCATGTAACTATCACATGTTTGCTCAAAATATGAAACGAACCCCCGAAGCATCACTTCAAAGTGGACAAAAAGTATAAAAAATTGGGCATGCCCTGATCAAGTTCTTTCATGGTACAAGTATAAATCATAAATATACAATCATCTCTTACAAACTTGCCAATCTAAAGAACTCCATTGTTCATGAACATGACCAATTGAAGAGTACCGCCAGCAAAAACCAGCATGCAATTATGTACAATGGAACAGAAAGGTTAACATGGCCACAAACCTGATCACCCTCCATAATCCCAAAACAGCTAATGGAGTCAGCTTCAGAGAGTAGCTTTTGGCCATGAAAACCTAAGCAGAAATGCCCCCATACATGCCGCCTGCATTGAACACATACCCTTTTACAAAACCGGCATCGATTCCATCAATCCTATACCAATTCTCAGCTTCCATTCTCCGTGTAAAATGTGGCAATGAAGAAACATACCATGAGATCTTGCCCGGGCCCTTCTGCGGCATGTAGCTGAAGGCAGCCTCCACCGCCTGCTTCAATTCACCAACCGTAGCAAGATGCTTAATTTGGATATCTGCAGTGCAAATCAATCAAAACCCATCTCTTTCACAAGATCGATTCGAGCTAGCTAGTAGGATCGAATAAGGAAATTTCAGTAACCTGACAGAAGAAGGGCAGGGGAGGCGGGGGGTGGAACTTACCGAAGCAGGAGCCGTCGAGCTTGAGAACAGAGAGCGTAATCGGCCTCGCCGGAAGCTTACTGTACGAAAAGCTTCCTTGATTGGAGAAGCCATACAAGGCAAGGAACGGCAAGGAATTGGACTGGTGGTGAAGAAACTCCGTCACAGGACCACCGCCAAAATTGCCAATGTCAATCCTGGTGTCAACGAGACTCATCTTTGTTTCGAAATTTTACAACCTCCGATGTCGTTCGGCGAAGCTCCCAGCTGCTGGAGAGAAAGGATAGTGAACACGCGCGGGGAAAAGGATGGTTGAATTGCACAGTGCATGTGTGACAATAATTAGGGTTCCGCAACTCTGTTCTTCTTTTCTTGTTCAATTCTTCTTTTCTTTTGGTTATCTCTGCAACTGAAATAGAGAGCTGGCGCCATGGCAAGAATTTGAAGAGGAGAGAGAGGGAAGAGGAAGAGCTTGCTAGTTTTCTGGATCTGTTCGGAAGGGAGGACAGATGGAGGGAACGGGATAACGTTTTTTGCGTCCGTTGACCAGATCGTCGTTATTTCTTCTCCTTTTCCAACTCCCGCTGCCTTTTGCAGGGAGAGAGAGAGAGAGAGAGAGAGAGAGAGAGAAATGTGCAAAACAAACAACTCTTTAGCCTAGATTTTTAGGCTGCTTGATGTTCTATCCAAATGTTCATCTAACTAAACTGGTTTGCTGTTTTGTGTAATTTGTAGTTAGACCTGGCGATCGACAAAACAGTTATCACGAGTCGGGTCACGTGGGGTTGGCAAATTTTGGGTCAAATATTGATCCAATTTATTCGGTTTCGAATCGAGTTTCGAGTCATTTTGATTATGAGCGTTCTCATAAACAATATCAAACATGCTTAATAAATAAGTTTTTTAAAATAGAAATTTCACATATGCATGGCAATAGTTTACTTAGCACATTTCGGTTAACAAATGCTCAAATCCTTCCATGCTAATGAAAAGAAATACAGATTGCACAAATCATAATAAAAAAAAACAATCATGAAAGTCATACTACTACGAAAAACAAATGATGTTTGATTATCCTTACACTCCAAACTTGTCTTTCAAATTCTTAAGATTTTTTTTTAAACATCTCACTGATTTATAAATAATTTTTTATTTTATTTTAAAGGTGACATATGAAATGGAACAGGTCTAGTGGTTTGACCCGCTAACCCACCCAACCTGACAAAAAAAACTATGGGGTTAATCGGGTCCGGGTCGTTTGAATTTCGAGTTATAAAAACTTCAGTCCATTTTTTATTTTTCCTACAAATTCAAGTCGGGTCAACGGATTCGAGTCGTTTTCAATTTGTGCATTGCTTTTGATTTTATATATGTTCTCTTCATTTGCGTAAAATATGATTCTTCGTTAAAAATAGGGTTAATAGCATTTCGTACCCCTCTACTATTGCGAACTAACAAACGTACCTCTCTACTATTTTTTCGCACAAACATACCCTTCTAGTATTAAAACGTAACAATCATACACTTCCGTCTAATTATCTGTTAAGTGACCGTTAAATGGGCTGTAAAATGACCAAATTGCCCCTTATTTAATCCTAAATACACTAATTATAATTATAATTATATTATATCCCAAATCAATTAAATAAAAGATCAAACCCTAATCGTCCGTCTCCCCCTCATGAGTCTCCGCTGGCCCTCGACTCTGCGGCGCCAGCTGCTCCCGGCATCTCCTCATCGAAAGAGTCGCATTCTCCGAGTAAAGCGCAGCGCTACCTCCAGCTGTGCCGTCGAAGTCCTTGCCTGTCTGTTTCTCCGCGGCCGCCTGATATTTTATGGTTCCGAATTCTATTCCCAGTTCTAGAGAGACTCTCGATCTAGTAGTGGTCCGTCAGTGGGCGCTCACATTTAATTTGTAGTTCTCCAGAGATTTGGTTCCATCACTTGTGAATTGGGATATATATAAAAATAGAAATGCATTGTCCAAGTTAAAGTTGTGGGAGAAGCGGCAGTGAAATAATTTTAGATCGGAGAAAGAAGAAAGAGTCGGGCGGGGAAAATTGGTACATTCATCACCCTTCTCCGTGACGCAATTAACCCGGAAGCCAGGAAGGAATCGAAGGTTTAGAAAAGGCGTAGGGAAACATAATCGACGGTTGCCGGCGAAGTGGAAGGGGAGCCAAACACATTCGGCGACTTACCTAACCGCCGTCTGGTCGTCGGAGGGGAATCAGAGAATGAAAAGGGAGAAGGTCGAGATCAGGGAGAATCTGGAAAGCTAATCTTCGTTTCTCGCCTATCAACCAGTTATCTCTACTCCAATCGCCGAGGAGATGCCGGGAGCAGGGGTCGCCGCCGGATCGACGGCCAACGGTGACTTCAGGGGGGAGACGGACGATCTGTGGGGGGTTTGGCTTTTTAATGAATTACTTTGGGTTACAAAATAATTAAAATTGAATTTATGTTTGTTTAAGAGTAAATGAGGGGTAATTGGGTCATATTACAACTTCTTTAACGGCCATTTAATAGAAAATTAGACGGAAGGGTATATTCGTTACATTTTAATATTAAAAGGGTATGTTTGTGCACAGATTTAATAGAGGGGTACGTTTGTTAATTTAGCATAATAGAGGGGTACAAAATGCTATTAACCCTTAAAAATACAATAAACGTATGACTGATCTCCACTAAATCGCATTTGATGAATCGACTTGACACATTTTAAATTTGTCATCAATCTTTAGAGAATGCTCTGATTATAACAGCAGGAGATGAAAATCTCAGCTACATGGGTGGTGCTACACAATACTTTGACAGATGAACTTGGTGTGTGAGTTGATACACGTGCATGCCATGGCAGACAACTCCAGATAGCTTATTTGAATCGAAGGTGAATGTGATAGGCCAGATGCTTACATTGTAAGGAGATATTTAAAAATCAACACGAATATTACAAAAATAAAAGTTAGAAAAAGAAACTTATTCAAAATAAGAGTGAAAATTCAAACAAAAGAGTACAAAAACAACCACAAGAATACAAGAACAAATACTGAAACCATATAAGAACTACCCAAAAGAGTACAGGAAACAATCAAAAAGACTACAAGAAATAACCCAAACAATACGAGAATCACAATCGAAATCCGACTAATCCACATAGAAAACTCCATGAATTGGAGAAGCCGCGAAGTATGTGGTCACCTTTGCTACCTCCCAACCTTGCTGGTTCATTGCTGCCACACCTTCAATTCAATATGAAAAACGACCAACAAAATGTCAATACTTTTTTTATTGAATCGATAATCACACAACAATTTTTGTCAAACAAAGAATTCTATCGAACAATGTGCATACCATCGTCTCCATTATCTCATGATCTCATCTGGGAGTCATAACAACAAACAAAGGTTTGGCTCTCTCCAAACTAATTCCAAACTTTTCTTCCATATCCAACATCTCTGGTACGATCTCATCTCCTAATTTCCAGTCAAACGAATGAACAAACGAACCCAGCATCATATGCAACATCCTCGTCGCCAAAGGCAATCCAGGGCATATCCTTCTTCCAGCACCAAATGGGATCAACTCAAAGTAGTTCCCTTTGGCATCCACCTCCGACCCCAAAAACCTTTCTGGCACAAATGAATTAGCATCGTCCCATGTTGATGGGTCTCGACCAATAGCCCAAGCATTTACAAGAATTTGTGCATCTTTGGGCACGATAAAGCCGCAGATTTCCACATCTGCTCTAGCCTTGCGGGGGATGAGAAGTGGGACCGCTGGGTGTAACCTCAAAGTCTCCTTAATGATTGATTGTAGATAGGGTAATCGATGTATATCTGATTCCCGCAAATGATTTCCTTTCCCAACTATTTGGTCAAGTTCTTTCTTGGCTTTAGCAAGTACATCGGGATTGCGTAGGAGTTCCGCCATTGCCCACACTAATGTACTTGAAGTTGTATCGGTTCCCGCTAGAAATAGATCCTGATGCATCAGAAGGATGAGTATAGATGAGCCGAAAAAGTAAGAATAATAATTTATAGCGGATAGCCATGAATGGATATACATATAGTTTGTTGTTTAAAAAAAATATTACGCCAGATTTATTGATCCAAATTGTCATCCTCTAGGGAAATAGTAGAATAATGAGACACTATGAGAGACACAATGCATTAAAAATGTATAATCATTATGGTTCAATCGGGTTATTTTATTCCGCTTCTTAGAAAGAAAATGATTAATCAAATTTGTCTTTTTGCTTGTTTCTACTTCACAGCATGTGAGGTTTCTGTTCTCTTGATTGATTACTGATCTCTGGATTGATTATGATATGATGCTACTTATTTAATGAACTAATTAATGAAAATTTTCCAACCATTAGGACAAAAAAAAAAAAAAAAAAGACCAATAAAATCGTTTAAGATCTCCCAAACACTAATTTAAAAGTTGAACTCACCAAGAACAAGTGGTTGATGCAAAGTGGATCCATGGCAGTCTCCTCCCTGGTGTTTTGATCAGCCCCAATGTCCAGAAGCGTGTCGAGCATGTCGTTGGCGGAGACATAGCCCTCGGACTCCCGCTGCCGCAGCCGCTCGTCGATCACCTTTCCAAACATATCGAAAACCTTGCCGAAATGAATCGTCATCCGCCTCTGTATCCCCTGCAAATCCCATCTGGCCAAGAGAGGGATATAGTCTCCCAAATTGGGTTTCCCGGCCTCCTCGAGGATCAATCTCGAAACCTCCTTGAACTCCCTGGCGGTGTCCGACCTCTGGTCGTCGTCCGCCAGGTCCAACGAGAACATCGTCCTCGACACAGCGTTCAAGCACGGCCTCCCCTGGCCTCTCAGAGGCATTTCGTCGAACATCTTCCATGAGCTCCTGAACTTTCTCCCTCCGTAGCTCCTCGTTGGAATCCAGCTTCTGGGTGGCGAACAAGTGCGAGTTGGAGATCTTCCGGAGGTTCCTCCACTTTGACCCCACGGGGAGCCAGGCTACGCTGAATTGGTGGTGGTCCAGGGCTCTCACGGCGAGGACGACCTGGCGGTCGGAGAGCAGCTGGTCCTGCTTCTGCAGAATCTCTTTGGCCACGGCCGGGGAAGAAGCCACGATGGTGGTCACTTGGCCCAGCTTCAGGATCATCAGCGGGCCGTGGATCTTGGCTAGATCGGCCAAGGATCGGTGGGGTTGGCTGCCCAGATTGTGGAGGTTGCCTATTATCGGAAGCCTGGCAGGGCCCGGCGGGAGTTTGCCCCGGCAGGTAGTTCCGTTGGCCTTTCTTCTTGTGAGGAGATATTGGAGAACGATGAACAGACCGCAGAGCAAGCAACCCAGGAGGACCTCCATTTTCTCCGGCGCTTTGGTTCTTTGCTACAACTTCACAAATCATAATCGATATATATAATACAGTGAGAGAGTGCGAGGTGAGTGAGTATTTGTTAATGTGAGTCGCCCACCAAAAGCGTTGACCATCTAATGAATTGATGATAATTTCGCGGTGAACTAACAGATATTGAATTGATTACATTACACCGTCATTTTTAGAGCAACGATATTACTATTGTTCAAACTTTTCTTTCTTCGATAATCCTATTGTATTGTTCAGATTTATATATTAGCATTGCCTGACTCTCACCTCACACATATAGTATTGTGAGCTAATTAGATTGTAATATAATAATTGTCTGCCTGAGACACATGTAATTATATTGAATTAGTTAGTTTATACTCAGTGAGGCCAGCTGGTGAAGTGTCTAGTTTGGTGAAGTGTCGTAGCTGTAGTACTCGTTCGTTCGTGCTTGTTGCCTCCGTTCTCCACTCTTCTTCGACATGTTGTAGTAGCGAAGGGTGGAACAAATTACTGAATTTCACGTGTCCACCACTTGGTTTGAAAGGAATCAAGCTAGCACTATATAGCAAAAATCTCAGAATGCAAAAGAAGAAGAAGAAGAAGAAGAAGAAGAAGAAGAAGAAGAAGAAGAAGAAGAAGAAGAAGAAGAAGAAGAAAAACAACAGTTCAACTCCAAACCGTCTGACATTCATAACTGCCTTGAGAAGCAATGCACAAAATACCTAATGCGGAATGGAATCAACAACCTTCCGAGATAAGGGGAAACTACAGCAGAGATCAGCAGTACGAGTAGAAAGCCAAATTTTGGAAGGATGTTGACCTATCCTATATGCTACTATGCCCAGTCATTACATGAACAGCCTCCAACGGAACTTTCCTGCAGTCAGGACTCGGTCAGAGGTAAAGCCCGAATAAGGTCAGTTGCTATAACTCACACGAAAAGCCAGAACCCGGAGAACAGGCCTTCGAGTAGTAGATATAGTTAACCAATCTGTTAAGCTGTCATGCTGAGAGTACAAGGAATTGTGACTCAAGAATCAGAGGTAGATTAACCGACTTCCAATAACTGAATTGTTGTTCACCTTGTAGTGGCCTTAGTTATCTCCCTTTCAGCTTGAAGTAAACATACAACCCAGAGCCGAAGAAACCAAGGATTTGTCCAAGAACGTTAAACTGCACGCCAGTTAATTAAACATGCCCACATTATTAGCGTATCTCTAAGAGCTGATCACATGAAATGAGAAAAGAGTTTCAAAAGCTTACAATGGAGAATCAAACAACATCCACAGGTTTTGCCAAGAAGCAAAAGTAGAGGGACATTCAAAAGAATAACATGCGCGTTTCCAAACTACAGAGACCTTCTTCAGGAACAACTTTGTTAATAGCTAACGAAAGACAACATTTTGACGTCATAACACATGCAACCCAACCTCAGTGCATCTGGAATATTGTCAGCAACATACATTTTCGCATGGTTAGAACTTAGAAAGTTCTATTCGAAAGAGTACTCCGAAAATAGAGAGTAGTTACATTCCAATACTAGTTTATCAAATTCCATTTGTAAGAAATCCAAATTTGCATGCTTCTTAATCTTCCTGAAAACCCCTGCTTACCACCCTATGAACTGCAGGCACGAGACAAGTGAAATACCAACAAGAAGGAAAAAAGGACAAGTAACAAAAGGCGGGAGGGGGGAGTTAAGCAATCATGTTTACAAACCTTGAGATTGCCACAAATTTTCTGTGTTAGTGCTGAATTGAGTGTTGTATTTAGAAAAATGTTGTAATTCAAGAAGAACGCCAGTATGCAAGAAAGGACCATCACAGCCTGAAAAAAGGAGCATGCTTGTCAGAACAACGCATTATTTTGTATCGCTTACATATTGAATAACAGAAAAGCTCTAGTACCCAACTCTGCCAGGATCATGTTTAGATGATTGGAACCATGCACAATTAAAGGCATGAAGCAAAAAGTGAAATATTTAATAGCACATGTCCTTGAAGCAAATCAAATATGATACAGGACTTTTAGGCATTGATAACAAAGCAAAGCAAATACAATAAGCAGTTAAGCACCTGTAACTTCAGAATTGAAGGAGCCAATCAGCTCAAAGATAGATACATACTGAATTAATTTAGTGAATACATAATTTTATCCTTCATACTTGAAATTTGAATCAAAGACAATGAAGACTGCCGTTTCACATCAGATACAGAGTTTGGCATGAGACTGTTATCGGATGTCCCCGAAGGGACTTGCATGAGATTGTTATAGTAACAACAACATACCAAGAAACCAGGTAAAAAAAGATCAGGGAAATGCATTGTCGTCGCTATGTCCCCGTGTATAAGTGTCCAAAACAGGCGAACAGGTCCACATATAACTCCTGTTATAAAAAAAAACATGGTAGCATTGTTCGGTAAAGCGTCAAAAGAACAAAGAAAAGTATAAATCAATTAACTGATGAAGTCTGGAAACCATAATCTGTCAAACTTACCATTGCGCCACATAAGTCCAAAGCTATTAAGGCCAGTAGACTTTCCTGACAGAAAGAATATGTCACAAACCATGCAATGCCACACACGTTAGGCTTACTGAAGGAACATTTCAAAAACTGGAGACAACCTAAAAATGTGAAACTAAAAGAAGAGTTCAAAAGCAAAAACCAATGCGGCTTATGATTGATTGCAAGATATATTGCTGTCGTGATATTGGCCATGAAGACAACAACATATCCATAGAAGTCAAATGATAAGTCCCGTGCCCCAACAATAACAACATCCTCAAATAGTTTCAGTTATATGGAGCAGATAAAACAACACTCTGCACTAGAAAATAAGTTCAACTAACCTTCCAACAATTGGAGATGTGTATCTCTGCCCAACAAGAAAGTACTCCATTATCATAGTAAACACTACTGTAGTCCTCCTCAGAGTAGTGTACATGGGAACATTAACTCCTCGCACCGATTCCATCGTAACTAGCTTCCGGTAGAAAAAGGAAAAACAACAAAAGCATTACTTCTAAGACTTGGGGAGGGCGAGTTTTTTTTTTTTTTTCAACAAAAGCATTACTAAGACTAGGGAGGGCAATTACCAAAAAGAAGAAGAAAAAAGAGTAGGGAGGGCAAGTGTTCATTCATACAGATCACAAAGGATAATTAACATGTAAAGCAAGTAGGAGATCGACAAAGGAAGAGTATACATCAACGTCTCAAATGATACGAAAGTAACACTACTATTATCAGAAGCAGTCATAGACTCAGCTGCACTGAAAGATATAATCCTCGATCTCCTTAACAGGTACAGAAACAAGCAAGACGATATCATCTACAAAGCAAGTACAATAAGAACAATATCAGTATTAATACCAGCACCATGAAAGTAATCACAAATATCAATTCCACCTCAGAAGCACTCCAAAACCTAGCTCAATCCAAGGTAGAATTAATATAACTTCTCCATGATCAAGTGGGTTTGCTGAATTCAAGCTGATAATCCAACATTAAAAAGAAATCATCCCAATCACAAAGATAGCAATCATACCTGAAAGAGTGTTATGACATTGGCACTTGGAAAGCTGTAAGAAGAGAGGGCCGCTTTATTGAACATTACAAGAAGCACTGCAATTTCAAAAGCAGAAAACAAAATTCGTAGCTGGGAATCAAAGCTTCTTATACCTAAAAGACGGCTAAATTCGCCCGGAGTTGGATTGACAAATTACCGGCACAAGCCATGTAAGAGATGGGAGCGTAAGCGCCTCGCTTGGTCATGGCGGAGCCTCGAAAGAACTTATCTTTCTCGTCTCCTTTGATGAGCTTCTCTTTCTCTTCATCGCCGGGAGAGACCGAGACCAGGAGTAGCGGGTTGCCGGGAGAACCACCGGACGACATTTTTTGGCAGTCTGCCTGAAATGGCTTAACCAAGGAATCGTTGAATCATACAAACAGAGGAGAATTCCGCCGGCGGCGAGGGATGGCGACGTTAGGGTCTTCGGAGGACTGGTCAAACTCGGGCCCGGTGACTCGGCGAATCGGTGGAAAGAGACCTTCCTCACACCCAGAGCGAGTTTTATTCCAGGTGTGGTGGGGAGAATCGAACATTACATTCCTGTGGACTCTGTCTGCGTCGAAATGACCGTTTAAATGTTATATTCCGAAAAAGCCCTGCCGCCCTCGCCACCGGCTGCCGCCGATCTCTGTCTTTTCTCCACGTCGACCCAGATTCTTTTGATCCCCTCCAAATCATCATATTCTTCATTCAAATTACGCAAGGAGAGCTGTCTCTAAGTTGTGCCACCAGCACCTAAAAATTTAATAATATATAATTGAAAAACTCATTAAGTAGAATTCAATATCTCATGGTAAGATATACGAGATTGAAAGAAAGGAGAAGATAAAAGTCAATTCATTAAGCAGAATTCAATATCTCATGGTAAGATATACGAGATTGAAAGAAAGGAGAAGATAAAAGTAATTTTGTTTTAGCTCTGATACCAAACGTATAAAACTAAATTTAATTTTACTAATTTAGAAATCTTTGATTTATTTTATTTAGGCTGGTTATTATATCAGTAACTAATTCGATTTTAGAGACAGATTCTTCTAATTTTTATGTGGTTCCAATACTCATTTGTTCCTTTACAATTTCTGAGACGAAGTAAAGTTAGTTCATGTGTGACTGTAGTGATATCATTTATTGAGGTGAGATTTATAGCGTCTCTTCCATCAATTAATTTGTTTATATGATAAGCAGTAGACATATTTATTTTATAGATACTAGTATATATAGGATCAGTAATTAACATATATTTAATAGCTGTTAGATTTTATTTTCTAGATTTATTATTTAATGTTGTAATTTCTCTAACTTATTTATTACTTGATTATTGGTTATCTCTTCTCGTTCTAGATTTTGTTCAATTACTGGGATATGTCTAATCCTCTCTGATTGTGTTCTAATCATCCATCTTTGGTCTTGGGTTATTGATGGTCGGCTAGGTTCTATTTTAACGTTTTTAGTGGTGCTTCTAATTGGATTAAAAGTTTAAATAAATCTTCTATAGTAATTACTTCTTTATTTTTTAAGGTTAAACTGTGGTGACTATTTGTTAACGCATAGTTTATTTGATAAGTTACTGAAAATGATTTGCTATTTTCTTTCATAAAATTTTCTCTTTTTAATTCATATTTTATAATAATAGAAGAGTCAAGGTTACCATCTGCTAGGCTCAATCCATGTTCTATGTTAATATTAAATTGAATTATTCCTACTCCTAAATTTCTCATTCCTTTGACAGTAATACTTTCTTCTTCATTAATGAGTCTATCATCACAAATTTCTATTTTCATGGGTGCGTCAATTCCTATTTTCTTGGTGGATTTTAAGATAATTTGAATTGTAGTACTAATATGAATATAAGCTATTTTATCTGGTTCTTCTTATCTTAGTTTAGCTAATCCTTTTCTAATTTGTTCTTTTATTTATTACTTGGATTAGAAAATCACCTTTAGTTTGATCAATAGGGACTGGTACTTCACCTATCATTTTACTGTATTTAATAATGTTTTCTCTATCAAAGAGTTTTGATAAAAAAGACTTAGTGATAAGTTTTGAGTTTCTGGAATAGTAAAATTAGTTTTTTCTCTAATTTTCTTAATGTCTATAACACCATCTAAGAAGTAGTTTTCATCATCGTTTTTGTTCAAGTAGTCAAAATAACTTGAGGTAGGATTATTAGACATACCTGACTTGTTTTTCTGGGGAAACCCTGAGTTTTTTTTTATGATCGCTTGATGATTGTTTCTGCTCTCCGTACGTTTGATTATATCGATGGTGGTTGTGGGCTCCACCTTATTTCATTGCAAACTCTTGCTCTTATATAGAGCTGAGAGGAGATACAAAGACGTAATTGCTTACGTTTGTGTGACAGGGACGTAAAGCTAACACGTCAAAAGAAAACGCGTGAAACGATAAGAATATTTGATAAGATACAATAATGCACGACTTTTTCTAAAGGAGTCGGCCAACCTTTCCTTGTCGTTTTATCCCATATGTGTTTGATTCCTCTTTCTTCACATGCTTCTCTCAGTCTTGGTATGCTGGTCCATTGATGTCTTTGTCAGTTAATGCACACCACTCATAGAAGTGGTCCTCATAGATAGTAAGTGCATTGCAAAGCTGTTTCTTGATTCGGATGGGAAGAGCTGACAGATTTCCATTAATTTCAGTGAATTCTTTAATTTTATCTGTTATGATTGTCAATTCTTCGTTGGTCATGTTTCCTCTAGTTTTGCTGGTGATGATGGCATCGGGACTGCTGTAATTGATTTTGATCTGACTTTCTGGTTCAATCTTGGTTAATGCTCTGCATACTGCTAGAAGACCCTTTACTTGGTAGTCTGGGTTCTTCTCATAATCTCGTAGGTCATCTCTGGTAGGATAATCATGGTTTGATACTCCCATAAGGATAACTGCCTTTGATCCAACCAATAGTTTGTCTTGATTGAATATGGGGTAGCTGCTTGTATACTTGAGAAATATTTCTCGTTCCTAGGGGAATAGCTCAATGTATCTTCTGATTACGTTCCTCATTCTTTGTGGTAAGTATTCAAATACTTTCATTGTTGTAGTGTAGATTGTGTCAATTAATCCATACTGATCGAACTCAAAAGAGAGTTCTAGTGATGCTTCTTCTGTTATTACTACTTTGGGTCCTCCTCGACTGACAGGGTAAAAACCCATGATTGTGTGTTTTTCTTCGTAGTTGATTATCATATCCCAATTGGATACGAACTTCTGAAAGACTGGTTTTAATTGTTCTTCTTTTCCTTTGGTGGTTGGGATGCTCTTGATACCGGGTATCTTCATGATAAGTTTTTGCGATTGTTGCTCTTGATTCTTGACTGGTTCTTTCATTGCCATCACCTTGTATGATTGTCTAAATGTTTCTTCGACTGCTTCTTTTATTTTAAATGATTGATGTTGGACTGGTTTGCCATTTATGTGTTGGCTAGCGATGGCCCAGTTGTGATATACTCCTCGATATGGTCCATTGAATATGACATACCACTTGCTGCCTTTTCTGTCGTCTTCTTCATAGTGGGAATCTCTTCCTTCTTTTTCTTCTTGTTCAACGATGTCTGCCCATCGTGTCGTCTTTTGTGTATTATTGCTGGTAGTAGACTAGTAGTAGATGATTGTGTTGATGTTGACTTTTCTTTTTTAGCAAGTTCTGTGGTGGGTGCTAATGATTGTCCATTAGCAGAGCTAATTGATAGAGTACAGACGTCGATGTAGTTGATCTTTAACTGTTGCTGAATAACATTGATTGATTGAATTATTGCTTCTTCCTCCCCCCTGCAAAGGAGAAGTTGTTGTTCTAGTGTTGTACTCTTTTCCCGTTTCTGCTTTAGCTGATTGATGAGGGTCTTTATAAATCCTTCCATTCTTGAGTTAGTGTGTCGGTGAACGGATTGTTGCTGGACTTGATATACTTTAGATAAGGATTGTAATAATGGAGTTGTTGTTGCCACCTGATTAATCTCCCTTTGTTGAAATCTGCTTGCAGCTTGTACCTCCAAAAACCTGTTACATATTTAGAATCGGTTTGAAGTTCAAATCTTGTGGATAATAATTCAAGCTTCCATTTTTTCAATGTTCGGATACAAGCTAGTGTCTCTAATTCATGAATTGGATAGTTCTGTTCAGTAGTGGTAAATGTTCAAGAAATATATTTACATAATTTCTTAGAATATTTATCACTGTTGAAAGGAACTGATAATTGAGAATCGGAAGATTCAATAATATTGTCCGTAGACTGCTAATCTTTAGGCTTTGAGCGAGAGACAACAACCTCATTATTGTCCGTTTTGATATTGCCATAATTATCCATTTTTAATAATTCCTTGCCATTTTGTATTGCTAACATGCACCCTTCCCAAGTATCCTCAGAGACATCTATTTGAACTATTAGAAAATCATTTTCACAAGGATTATATAATTTTGTTAAATGATGACATTTTTCCTTCATTAATAAAACTATTTCTGTATCTTGATCATTCCATGACCAATGGATTTTGTCAGAAATCTTTTTCTGTAAATGTTTTTTTTTTTGCTAAATCCTTTAAAAATCCTTGTTCACTAATATAATTTAAACATCCAAGGAAACGTTGATTTTTTTTTTCAATTTTCAAGTTGGTTTGGGAATTTATCAATTTTTTCTTTTGTGTTTGGTGACAACTCAATTTCACCGAAATTATTAATTTTCATACCAAGATATTCAATTTCCATTTGAAAAAGTTTTGATTTCTTAGAAATAACTAGACTTTTCCCCTTTATTCTTTGTAAAATTATCAAGATTTTTTCACGATGATCTTCTGATGTGTTGGTGAAAATGATGATGTCATCAATGTATGCTAAACAAAATGACTGAAACCGTCTAAGACATGATCCATAAATCGTTGGTATATAGCTGGTGCTTGTTTCAATCCAAATGGGAGAACATTCCATTCGTAATGTTTTTGTGTTGGACATGAAAAAGCTGTTAATGGTTTGATATTCTCATGTAGACGAAGTTGTCAATATCCTGATTTAGCATCTAAACTACAAAACCATGTCTGACCTTTTAATCTTTTGAGTATGTAATCTTTTCTTGATAATTTATAACTATCTCCTATTGTTTGTTCGTTTAGTTTTTTTTTATAGTTTATTACCATTCTTCCTTTTGCTCTTTTGATTTCATTATTATTTTCTACATAGAAGGCAGGTGCACTATGAGGGCTTTTACTTTCTAGTATTATACATTTTTCAACTAATTCTGAACATTCTTTTTGGAATTCTTCTACATCTCGTTGAGTATATTGAATTTTGTTCGGGATATTAACTTCCATTT